ACTTATTGAATTTTTGATTCCCCTAAAATTTTATAAAAATCATTTTTTGTATCGATTTTTTTACAAATACCTTACAGAAATATTTAATTTTAGGGAGTCAAGTTAAATTTGTAAAATATAAATAAATGTTGTACCAACWCACTGTCCAGTGAGAAACGCACCGATTCTGCACATCTCTTGCGTCACACTACTAATGAAACCGGTTCYCTAATGACATGGTGTTGCGTGATGATGTRGCTCAGAAAAACTTAGTTAAGTCGGCCAGCAGATTGCTCTCTCACTGGATAGAGTAAAGGTACACTAAACCTACTAAACCATCAATTTTTATGACATAAATTCATAAACTATTTAAGTTTTCAGTGTTGTAAACGAAATTTACGATATATGTGACTAAAGCGAATAATATGAAATGTTTAATGTAAAAATGTGAACATTTATAGGTATCTTAAATTTTTTTTTTCAATTATAATATAGATTAGAGAAGAAGTTTATCCAGTGGGCAGTTATTTTAGTGTATTATTTGTAATAATCGTATTCCTCGTTACCGATTATCTACAATATAAGCCAATAATTATTTTAAATGGATTATCTGGTATAATGTCTTATAGTTTACTATTAGGATCTCCAACTATAAGTTGTTTGAAAGTATGTATCTATATTGCTACCTAACTCTTTTAGATTCATTGTAGAATTTTATTTTTGCCTACATAACTAATTCATACATATTTATATAGTCTATAACTTTTATTCTTTAGTCAGGTCAAATATTTRTAATGCTTTTTAGAGCAGCTGAAGTTGCGTATTATACATATATGTATGCAAATATCAGGAATAAAGACCAATATCAAATCGCTACTAGTATAGTAAGAACTTCAGTTTTGATTGGAAAATGTAGTTGTGGTATAATAGCACAAGTACTTATATCATATAACATTTTAAGCTTTGTATATTTACTTTACTTAAGTATACTTGGTAAGTAAAATAATACATTACAAAATTTTTAATTTTCTGTTATTTTAAACATTAGTGATGTTTCATTTTGTAAAAAAAAAACTATTGCATATTTTTGTACATTATTCTAGAAAAACAAATTTTAAAAATACATTTAAATTTAACGAAATTATAAATATCTGTTCTAATTCAAAAGAGTAAAAATTTAAAATGATAATGATAAAAAATGAAGTATAATTTTTTCAAAACTTGTTTTATAAT